GAAATTGTGATCCTCCTGCCTCAGCCTCCTGAGTGGCTGAGGTTATAGGTGTGGGCCACTGCATCCAGCTAGACCTTTGGAGATTAGATCTAATATGGTACTCACATGAGAACTCCTCAAGATACCCTGTGTGCTTCCTCACCTCTCTCCTTCTCTCATCTGTGAGCACACACACACACACACACACGCCTCCGTTTTCACCAACACCTCAGCAGCCCAGGGCCCCCACCCTCACCCCTCACTTTCTTGAAAGCTCTCTCCTTCTCTCTCTCCAGGCCTTGGCTCAGATCTCACCTCTCAAAGTTCCTTCCTGACAAATTCATCTCTTCCCTCTGCCTCTTCCCTCCACCCCCATCATTGCCCATGACTGCACTGGGTTTATTTCCTTCCAGGCATGAGCCACAAGCCACTACTATTTGTTTCTTGTCCACTTCTCCCGTTAGGCTGTCTAGACCCTCCCTGCCTCCTGCTTAGGCTGTGATTCATCTGAGAGATTGTTATAAAATCAAGTTAGAACTTGACACAGAGGGAAGCCATGCTACAGGGCTCCAGCTCCCCCTTTTTACACCTGACCCCACCAAAATTCATGTGTTGAAGCCCTAACGTCCAATGTGGCTGTAGTTAGAGATGGGGCCGCTAACAAAGTAAAGTTATACGAAGATATAAAGATGAGGCCTTGATCTGACAGAATTAGTATCCTTAGGAGAAGAGATACCTCATAAGAGGTGTCCCACCCCACCGTGTGCACACACCTAGGAAAGGTCATAGAGGACGTCCAATGTCAGGAAGAGAAACCCTTGCCAGAAATCCACCCTGCCAGATCTTCATCTGGGACTTCCAACCTCTATAACTAGGAGAAAATAAATGTCTGCCATTTAAGCCAATGCCCTGTGGTATTTTGTTACGCAGCTCTAGCTGACTAAGTCACAGGTATTGTTCGGTGTGTTCATTGCATTCTTCCCATCTCCTGCTATAGCACTAGGACTGTGGCAGGGACTCTAAGCGACAATTTGGATGAATGAGCAGATATTCCCATTCCTAGTGCACTTCAAGGCAGCTGAGAACTGGTCAAAGCAACAGAGCTTGGAACTCAAGAGACCTGGGGTCACAGTTGTCAAATCAGTATCCACTCACTATGTCTTTTCCTCTCTCTGGGCCTCAGTTTCCCAAATCAGTAAGACAGGACAGATCAACCAGATGACCTATCAAGTTTCCTCTAGTGATAAAATCATAGTAAAAAGGGCTGCACTTTCTGGGACACTGACTGTGACCCAGGAACGGTACTTTTCCCCTTTCTCACTCCTGCCTACAGATATATTCATCATCATGTCACAACTGGAACCCCATGGTAGAGCAGTGGCCTCCAAAAGCAGAGGAGTACTGTCAATATTAAACGTATTCTCCTTCATCCCAAAATTATGTGTGTCCAGCTGTTGAAATACTCTTTAAAGAAATGATGATGTTGAAAATGTCCTTACAGAGAGAAATGAGGATTTGGCCATCTATTCAGCCCCTAAAATTTATTCAGCGATTTGACTGATGCCTGAAATCCCAGTTTTGGACTGCATAAACTCTACACAGGGAAGGAATTTAATTGTTCAGGGTTGCTCTGCCTAGGTATGGTTGAAGAACATAAATAACCAAAGAGCAGCTTCAGTGGTACATTTCAAGAAGCTTGGACCCAAATCAAAGCTTTGCCTCTAGTACTACTGGGTCACTTCAGGCAAGTGAAGTAACCCCTCTGGCCTCAGTCTCATTATCTGTAAAATGGGGGTAACGGTGCCGACCTCATGGGACAAACTTGGGGTAGACTTGATACACATGATTATTGTCATAATGATTATGTAGAAGGAGGAGCCACAGTAATCAGCCACAGACAGGAAAAAATACCTGAGGGAAAAGGGATGGCATGACAAATTCCCATCCTGCTCGGATTCACCAACTTCTAGTCCAAAGGAGTTCATTTCCACCAGCTGGTACAACCTCAGGCAAATAATTTCCTAGCTCTCTGCTTTGGTTCCACCAAAAAGGTATGAAATGTAGCAGCATTCACAATAGGTATATGAAATCAACCCAGGTGTCTATCAATGAATAAGTGGATGAAGAAAATGTGGTACATACACACGGAATACTATTTAGTCATAAAAAATGAAATCTTGTAATCTGTGGTAATATGGACATGATAAAGTTAACTGAAATAAGCCAGGCACAGAAACACAAATACTGCACAATATCATAAGGATGTGGAATCTAAAAAAACTGAGCTCATAGAAGCAGATAGTAGAATAGTGGTTACCAGAAGCTGGAGAGGGTAGGGGAGAAGGAGTGATGGACAGAGATTGGTTAACAGGTACCAAGCCACAGCCACAGAAGACAAATACATTCTGGTATTTTGCTACACAGAAGGGTAATTATAGTCAACAACATTGTATAATTCAAAATAGCTGGAAGAGAGGATTTTGAATTTCTCATCACAAAGCCATAAATATGGGAGATAATGAATAACAAATTAAATATCCTGAATTGGTCAACACATGATATATAAATGTCTCAACACATCACACTGCACCTCATAAAGATGTACCATTATTATGTGTCAATTAAAAAAAAAGGCAGGGAGCAATTACTCTTACCCAACAGAAGAGTGGAACACAAATTTCATCCCCTATCTTATTCCATGATGTATTGAGAAACATGTGAAGGCTTAGATTCTACGGCCTCTTCAAGTCTCAGTCTCTTTGTTCTTTATTATCTTCCCAGACAATCTGATACACACCAAATTTCAAAACTACCATGAAAGAATGAGAGAAACAAGACTCTGATAATTCAAGGAGTCATACAATTATTATCATTATTTAAATTCCACTTGTTCCCTCCTCTACGAAGCTGTCCAATGGAACTGTTATCCTTACAGAAATTGCACATATGCCTCACCCCAGGGAAGCTAGGCCTGCATCTCAACATGAAAGAGCACCCTGACCAAATCCCTCCAGTCCTTGGGCTCTTTGAAGTCATCTGCAGTTTAGTACCCACTTCACAAAGGGGAAAATGAGGCTCAAAGAGGGACAATGTTCCTCCAAGGCCATGATAACTTCATGATAAAGTCACAATGAAACCCAAGGTGTGGGTATCTGAGTCAACGCTAGAAGGGCTTAATGTGGATCTCCCACCCTGGGAGAAACCCTCTCACCTTTCACCTTTCACCTGACCTGTGGTTTGTTCAACAAGGTGAGGGGTCTACAGTCTCCTTGCCCTCCAACAAGTTTCCTTTGTTCTAATGATATGTGGAAAAGCCCCGTCCATAAGCTTCTTTCCAAAAGGTTTGAAGATTAACTTAAGGTTCTTCTCAACCTGGGGAAGAAAGCAAAATCTAATCCATGTTCAAACATCTCCAGCTCTGAGCGGTCTTATTTCCCTGATCCTGATGCTTGAGCAGGCACAGAGGTCCATCAGTGAGATGAGATCTAAGATTAGAACCAGATTGTGGAATCTCAATTGCAGGTCACAGAACACAGCCTGCTACCCCACAGACCAGGAATAGTGCTATATAATCGTTCCAGACAAGGGAATGGGGGATCTTCCACAAACCACAGCAAGGGTTTTAGTTGATTCAGGGCAAGGAACTTGAAGGGTGGGGTCAGAAGTGAAACCAAGGGGTCAGTGTGGTAGTCAAAGCTGCAGACTACAGACACAGAAGGACCTTGTGGAGTTCAGACTCTGCCCTGTACTAGCTGTGACCCTTGGCACACTCTTCTTTGCCTCTCTGAGCCTCAGTTTCCACATCAATAAAAACAAAATAACAATGCTACCCAGAGAAATAGTCAGGTTTTGAGGAACCTGAGGCTTATATTATTGGGGCTGGGGAGAGGGGCAGGAAGGGGTGGGGAAAAATACAACTTCAAAATTGCATATGGGATCTTGAAAAGAGTCCCATGTAAGGGAGGGACCCTGAGAAATCTATGTTGGGTCTACCAGTTAGCAGTGAGATATTTAAATAAAGCTCTTGGCACATAGTAAGCCCTCAATAAATGTTGGTTTGGAGAATGAGATGATGGGGGGAGAGTGGTATGGCTTGAGTAAAATGCTATAATTTTGTGGGTTCATCTGCACTGAGCAGGGATAATGACAGAGAAGGGAATCCCAGAGAAACTCGCAAGACCCTCTTTAGCTGCAGAGTTCTGTCCTGAAGGTTATGTGTGACCTTGGGCAAATCACACCCTCTCCTGGGACCCAAGACTGCTAAAAGGCCACTGGGAGTTGTATAATCTCTACCTTTTTTCCTCATTCCAAAAAATATCTGGCCCTCTCCGTGGAGCCTCTTAAAAGCAATGAAGCAGTTGGGTGAGCCAGCGAATGTTCCTTTTCTTTCCATTTTAAGAAGTGGGAGCTCCTAGATGGAATATCTTAGCAGCGGACTGAGGAGCCTAGGAGAAGGGGAGACCCTACCCTGAGATGCAGAGAAAGGGATGGGAGGTATTTTCTTGGAGGCAGAAATAGGCAATTGGCTAAAACCCTGACAAATTGGGCTCTGGTTCCCATTCTGTAACTTTCTGGCACGTGACCTCAGCCAGATTCCTTTACTTCAAGAAGCCTCAGTTATTCAATTTACAGGATCAAATGGGGAAAAAAATAGCTAAGGGTGTCTCTCCCTTGGTAAAGTGTTTAATACCTAGTTAAGCGCAGGTTTTGGAAATCACTGTAGTGCTTGTTCCCATTACAGTTATGGGGTAACACCAACAAGCGATCCTGACCCTACTCGCTTTCCAATCCCTACTTTCTTACTCCTCGGGGGCGTGGCTCCTCCTCCACCGGCTTCATCAGGCGGGAGGAGGAGGCACCGCTCTCTGGGGAAGGGGGGCGGGGCCTCGCTCCAGCTCAGCAGAGCGCGCCAAGGCACAGCCACTGAGCAGGGTCTTGCACCTGCACCAGACACCTTCCCATTTGATTCCTTCCAACGTAAACCTCCTTATCACCCTGAGCTCCCCCTTTCTGAAGCAGTCATGGCTGTGGCAAAGAATGTCAGGGACCTCCAGGGAGCTGTTTCCCTCAATTTGGACCTTAGGTCATCTCCCCAAAGTACCAAGAACCTGCAGAACAAGGACTCCGGTTTCTTGGATGTAAACTCTTCAGAATCCACGGATTTGGACAAGACCAAGGGCATAACGTGAGTGCTGTTTTCTGTCAGCCCCGTTTCTGCTGTTCAGCCTGGAAGCTTGAACATTGGTTAAAAACCTGAAGGTGGGTGTGTCTGACCTTCAACCCATTGTGCAGATGGGAGAACCAAGACTGTTAGAGGCTTTGTCAGATGAGAGTTTAAAGGGGAAGGAGTGGAGTCAGAAAAGCCCTTAGGGATATTCATGGGGAATGAAGGCCCAGGTAGCCCAGGCCACCCATGAAGTAAGTCATTAAGTCATTAGGATAGGGGCTGGTTTTACTGTCAGTTTTTGGTTAATGAGGGAGGCAAGATCACTAACTTCTTGGAGGAGAGAAGGTGAAACCTGAGCTTAAAACCATAATGGCCCCACCGAGAACTAAGCATTGCTTCCTTCCTGTGGTAAGCCTGGCCTCTTCTTCCACTGGGAGTTGCGGGGAGGACACCAAACTCAACATGTGTGGCAGATGCTCCTTTCTTCCCTAGGGGTGAGGAGACAGGGTGGGGGGCAATATTCACAGGCTTTCAGAACTTGACACAGAGGGAAGCCATGCTACGGGGTTCCAGCCCCCCCCCCCTTTTCACACCTGACCCCACAACAAATCAGTCTAGCCAGTTCACTTAGGGAAGTGCAGGGGTAGGTGGTGGAGAGCTCCTGTGCTTTAAGAAAAAAGTCTGGACACCATTGGGGTCCTAGGGGGAGCAGTGGATGGACAGTCAGAGTTCATTCTAGGTTTTTTACATGCAAAGCTGGGGTGAACAGGTGGCAGTCTGAATTGAAGGACGATGTCCCTGGAAACTATGAATGAGGAGGACGGGGGTGTGCAACAGAGAGGAAGAAGTTACTATAATGGAGAGAAAAAGCCTCTCTCCACAGCTACCCTGCAGGGCAGTTCAGGGATGGACACTATGACTGGCGCTGGCGTGGTTCAGTTATTTTGGAGCCGGTCCTGGGGGTTGCTTGGTATTAGTGATCCTAAGGATAAATGTTCAGGCCCTGGGGTTACCACTGCAGAGCAGGGATATTTCTCAATCAAGGGCCCTGGGGGAACCAACTGACTCTGTGTCCTGAACTCTGGTGGCAGTTTTAGCAACTTAAGAATCAAAGGACAGAGGAAGGGGACCAGGAGGAGGCAGGAAGGGAAGCATAGGGGAAATACTAGATAACAATATTGACCGAATTATATTGCTATATTGCGTGCGTGTTTGAATATGTAACACAAATCCCACTACTATGCGTAATTATAATATACCAATAAAAATATGGGGAAAAAGAATCAAAAGAATAAAGCAAGTGAGAGCCAGAGGGGACCTTTTGGCTCGGAGAGAAGAGATATAACAGGCTGGGTAAGCGTGACACTTATGGGCTGGCCCCTTGGGTTTGAAGTCCCACTTTGCTGCTTCCCAGCTTGAGCAAGTGACAGAACTTCTCTGCCCCGTCTCTCGTCTGTGAAATGATAGTCTGTACCTGCCACACAGATGACATGAGCCTAAAGCCCCCAAGTGCAGGGTCCTAAAAGCTTGCTAGCTTCTGTGACTATGATGGTGGTCCAAGGTCATCAAAGGAGTCAAGGATAGAACCCAGGGCTCGAGTTTGGGCTCCCAGTATAGGGCTTTGCACTGTTTGTAAGTTGGCCGAATGGCTGAAAGCTAAATTCTGATTTCCTAAGTCCTTTAGTTAGAAATTTCCTAAGTGACCTGTTGACCCTTTCCCGGTTGCAAAACAAGCCCATCACTGGGGGCCACAGGGAATAGTGCTCAGTCAGCGATGTGGACACCCACAGGGAGAGGGAAAGGCACGCGGAGACTCTCCACCCCCTTTCTCCTCCAATTGTTCTCACTAACCCTTGACAAATCAAGGGCAGATTCTTGGGAAGCTAAAGGATTTAGGAGTTTAACGTAGAGACAGGGGTGTTTGGGGAACTTCTTTCAAAATACCATTACTCCTAACATTTGCAGAAGCTTAGCAAAGTTGAACAGGTTGCTAAGATGATGTAGCAGGTTAAGTGGTGGCCTTGAGTTTTAATCCCTGGTTTGTCCAATTCCAGAGACCAGGTTCCTTCCAGAATCCCTCTGCTGCTTTTAAGGGCTTCTCCTGGCTGGAAGGCTTTTCTGGGGAATTTCCAAGGTTCCTAAGGTTATCGATATAACCCGGTACTCATCTTGATTTCACCAGGTCCAGTGTAAAGAGGTGTAGCAGTAGGTTTGTTACGTGATTCTTCAGGAGAGAGGGCACCTGCCTAGATTTTTTTTCCCTGCTGGTTCAGACCTTGTCCTCTGGACCGACCTTTAGATCTCTGTCTTAAAGAGTGGGAGTTTTTTGCTGTTTTGTTTTTGTTTTTAGGGGAGTTGGGGGCATGACATTTTCCAGCCTTAATGCCCTGGGCAGAGAGAGAAAAAAAAAAAAAAAAAAACCCTCCGGAGATCAATCCCCAAATGACCCAAGTCATTTGACATATTTATTGAGACGTCACCATGATTTCTTTTTCCTTCCTGCCTTTTTCTCTTTTCTTGGAGTTCAGTCCTATCTCTACCACTAGTTTATGGCTTCAGTTCCTCAGAGAGGAAATGGCTCTCAGGCTGTCACTTCTTTACCCTCTGTCTGACCTTCTGTCTGGGAGGCCGCTCAGCAAAAGTGAGAGTAAAGAACAGGGACTCTGAGGTAGTCTTGGGTTTTAACACTAGCTCCTCAATATATCCTTGGACAAGACATTTTTTAAAAGTCTCTGCCTCAGTTTCCCCCTCTGCAAACTAAAGATAATAGCAGGGCTGGGGATGTGGCTCCAGCGGTAATGCGCTCTCCTGGCATGTGCAGGGCACTGGGTTCGATCCTCAGCACCACATAAAAATAAAATAAAGATGTTGTGTCCACCGAAAACTAAAAAAATGAGTATTAAAAAAAGAAAAAGATAATAGCAGTACCTATTTTATAGTCTTGACAAGATGATTAAATGAGATAAATACAGATAAAGTACTTCTCATAGCGTCTCTTATAGCATGTGTTGTAATGGCATACCGTGAGCTGCTAAAATTGAGACAGTTGTGGGAAAACTGAGGTAGGTGGTTACCTTACAGGAGACTCAGACATGCCAGGCAAGGATCCATGACCTGAGAGACGGCCCGGAGGCCACCAGCCCAGCTTAACTCAGGTGTCAGTTGGCATGCAATCAGGGAGTGACTGCTGGCTTCCTCCCCTCCATACACATCCTCACATCTCCTTCCTCTCCTTTAGAGGGTTCCAGACCTTGGTTCATGTGTTGAAAGGCAACATGGGCACAGGGATCCTGGGACTACCCCTGGCTGTGAAGAATGCTGGCATCCTGGTAAGAGAGAAAGCCACGGGTGGGACCACGTGGCCAGGTAGTAGGATGGGAGGAGAGAGGCACTCACCATTAACAACAGCCTCAGGTGAGCAGCCTTCTGGGAGGTGGCTTGGTACAGACTTATCATCCAGATGCCTAGTTCAGGCCTGAGCTCTGGCACTGCCACAGACTTTAGTGTCCTTGGCAAGTCATTTGTCCACTCCCTGGGCCTCAGTTTCCTCCCTTGTAGAACATACAGGTTGAACTATGGACTGGTTTTTCAGCTGTGCTCTGTGGAGTCTAGGTCTCCTTGGAGATGCCTCAGAGGCCATCAAGGGGACATGTGGTCATGATTCTGGTTTCCCTACTTCCTGCAATATCCCAGTGGAAAGGCTTTATGAACTTTATTGGGTGACCACTTGAGACTATATTTGAAAGAACGGCTGTTAATGCTAAAAAGCCTTGCAAACCAGTTTGCTAGAAGTTCTTCGTGGTTCTTAAAGTCCCCAATTGCTGCTCACATTGTCCTTCATAAATTCTCTCTCTTGCTCTGCTCTTTGTCGCCCCTTCCTCCAGATGGGTCCGATCAGTTTACTGGTGATGGGCTTCATTGCCTGCCACTGTATGCACATCTTGGTCAGGTGTGCCCGGCGCTTCTGTCACAGGTGAGAAAAACAGCATCCCAGAAACATCCTACACATAAGAAGTAAGAGTTTACTTCTTAATTTTTTTTCCCAATGTGGCCAAAAAAAAAAAAAAAAAAGGAGCATTTAGGGGCAGGGACCTGAATGAGATTCTGCCATAGAGTCAGTTAGATGATCTCAGGCCATTGTGTTTATGTGGTTGGCTCACCTGCAAACTGGATATAAACAATCCTTGCCTAACCTTGCCTTGGAGAATTGTCATGAGGATCCAATGGAATACATGGGCATGGAAACTACCGTACCCACACAAAGTCTTTATTATTATGCTTGCTATTTAGTAACAGCCTTATTTGACAGGAAAGGAAAACAAGCCACCACAGAATTACTGCCAGGTGTCAAAGTATAGAACTTAGATCCCCACCCCAGTATTCTCTCTACCCTTTTGATGAGTTCTGTCTTGTTCCACATCTCCTGATTGGTGAGTATGTGATCTTAGGTTAAACCATCTCTTGCAACCGTGCTTGTGTTCTCTCCTCAGGCTCAACAAGCCCTTTATGGACTATGGGGATACCGTGATGCATGGACTAGAAGTCAGCCCCAGCATCTGGCTCCAAACTCACGCCCACTGGGGGAGGTATGTTGCTTTTGCTTGGTCTTCTGTAGTGTAGGATATAGGAGGAGAAGATGCTGCTCTTAGGGGTACCTTCTTCCCTGGAAAGGTGATTCATGTGGGACAGAATGTCACAGGGAAAGAGTTCATTGATCAGATCCCAGATCTCACTCCTTGCATACCTCCAGTGATAGGGTACTCATTCCTTTTTTATGCAAGTCTAATATTATTTGCTCTTTTATTAAGCTACATATTATCCTGTTGTTCCTACTTCGCGGACCCTGGAAAGAAATACCATGAGGAACAAGGCAAACAAGAAGGCTTTTCCCTGTAGAACTCAGAGTCCAGTGGAAAAGGCAGAGACTAGAGAGCCTATCTACTGGGATAAATATGATAATGGAAAGAAGTACTAGCTAGCAGCTAACAAATAAGGATGTGTGTGTAGATCAGGTGGGGGGCTTCCTAGGCTGGAACAGTTGAGTGGAGTCCTGATGAAGGCAGTCCTGAAACATAAGGAATTTCTCAGGGGAAGTAGGCAGAGGCCTGATGACCTTCCAGGAAGAAGGAAGAGCAGGTGTGAAAACTCAGAAGCAGGAGGGTGTAGGCAGCAGTTTTAAGGTCCAAAAAGACCAGGTAGCTTGAGGTGAGAGAATCAGGGAGGTCAAACAGAAGAAGGAGCCAGGTGCTCAATCAAGTTGCACATTTCAGACCCTTTTGCAGTTTTGCTCTTTTTGTAAAGGCAAAGGGGCTGAACCAGGGAAGTGGTCATATTTGCACTGTTTGAAGTACCGTCTGGCTTCTGTGAGGAAGGCAGGTCAAAGGGAACAAGAGTAGACAGACTCCCAAAGAGGCTGTTGATAAAGTCCCAACGAGTGGCAATGTGGCTGCACCAAGCTGGTGGCAATGGTGATGAAGAAAGTTGATCATGAATCGCCTCCTGGGATTGAGAGAGAAGGGAGATTTCTGATGACTTGTATTTTGGACAAGCTGGGTTTGAGATGCCTGAGAGACAGTCAGGTAGAACTGTCCAGTGGGTCTATACAGATCTGATCTGATCTTCACGCAGTAGAGACAAAATTAAAGTCATCAGCCATGAAGCTGGGGGCAGAAGAGGTCTCTTAGGGAGAGGATATAAAATGAAGAGAGAGAAAAAGACCAAGGCGCTAAGGATCCTTGTTGAGCTAACTCTTCTCTATAAGTCCACCTTTTAGCTCTCAGGAGTGATACACATGAGTCGACACCCTTTGTCCTCTGGTACTTGGGACTAAATCTATTCCTTCATCTTTGTTTGCAGACGTGTGCCTTCTCCTCTTCTCACCCTGTGAACTTTCCGACATGGGTCTGCCTCCCTAAGGTCTTATCCGTTATCTACAACTGAACAGTTCCAGAAACTCAAGCGCAACAATTCAGATACCGAATGTGTCATTAAAAGTTTTTCTTCCCTTTATCCTAAAACTTGTTCTGAGTTTCCGCCTTCATTTTGCCATCCAAGTCAAAAGTCTGCAGAGCACCCTAATGTCATTTTCTCCCTCATCCCCAGAAGTTGGTGATCACCAAGTTCTAGAAGCTCTGCTTTCCTGGTATCTTTTCAAATGCTCTCATTCTCTAATGCTAGTGGACATGTCTTTGTTCAGGCTGCTGCCTTCTTTCACCTCCACCTATGAAAGAATTTCCTACCCAGTCTCTCCTCCCATAAAAAAAAACTCCTGCCCCTCCAGGGCCCTTTGCACAAGGAAGCTAGTGAACCTGCCTGCTCCCCCTACTGAAATGCCCTCTCCTCATTTCCTGTCTTCCTCCTGCTCTACCTCTCCCTCCTCATCTCCCTCTACTTCCGGTTGCTGTTCTCTTTCTTCTTTCCTTCTTTTCCCCCTCTCTCTCTTTTTTCCACCTTCCTAAGGGACTCTTGCTCATATATTGTTTTTTTCCTAAGAAGGTTTTCTGGCTGCCCATAGTTTGGATAAAGTGTCCTTTTTACCACGGTCCTTAGTCTTGTATTATGATATTAACTTGTGTCTATAGCACCCTTTAGCCTATGTACCACCCGAGGAAGGGACCCTATGTTATTCTTCTGCACATCTTTGGTACCTTCCATTGAGTCTGGCCCGTGGTAGGAAAAAATATGTTAAATGTTAATGGTAGCTAATTAAAAAAAAAACATTGTGTTTACTGTCATCCCACATCAATAATAACAGTGGGGTGAGGAATGTCCCAAAGCCTGACCAGGGTGGCAGGGTGGAGAGGCTTACAACCAGGAAGAATTTTACTGCTCCCTGTGCTGAGAGTGTGAGGGTGTTAGAAAACCACTTTTCACAAAGAACTATTGTTACATCACTTTTTACTGCCTTGTTGTTGATTGTGGTAGAAGGACCAAGGGTGCTGTTATAGGACCACCAACCCCTGGGGACAGGGGACAGAATGGCAAGAAATGGAACTGCAAAGTTTTATGATAACAAGCCCCTGCCTCCTCTCCTCTCTTCTAGGCATATAGTGAGCTTCTTCCTCATTATCACCCAGCTGGGCTTCTGCTGCGTGTACATCGTGTTTCTGGCTGAGAATTTAAAACAGGTACAAACTTCTAGGGAAGGTGGAAGAGGAGAGATGTGGAAGAGGAGGCTTTTCTGCTAGTGGTTTAACAAATGCATTCCTCTGAGTCCCAGTGTCTTATCAATACACCACAGGAAGTGAATCTAGGTATTATCCAAGAACCTGACCTCCCCCGGTTCACAAATCTGCAGATTTCTGTGTGATGACCTTTGCCACAATACCCTTTGCCCCATACCTTGGACCTGTCCTCAAGGTTAGTTTCTAAGATGCTGAGCTGGAAAAACCTTGGAATTTGTCAATTCTTCTACCTTGGAGTTTAATCATACTGAATGCTTCTCAAGTTGATTTGGATCATGTCTGGTGGGATACCTGATCTTGCTTGGGACATCTTTATATACTGTTAGCTACTTGATCTACGGTTAATGGTTATTTTTCCCAAGAAGTCCTTCTGATCTAACCCAGATGTTATCTTGCAACAATTGGAGCAAAATAGTATAGGTAACATAAGTTAATCAATGCACTAAAACAACAACAACAAAAAAAAAAAAAACAACAACAAAAAACTGTTCTTAGAGCTCTTTTTCTATTTATTATAGTAACAACAGAAACTTAGAAATATGAAAAAGTTAGAAGGGAGAAAAAACCCAGTAAGCATTTAGTTAGCTTTTATTAAGCATTAGATACATTGCTGGAATTTTTACATGATTTCCATCATTTATTTCTTTCCTTGACCTTATCAGAGTAAACACTATGATTGTTTCTCTGCCATGTGCTCCAGTGATTGTCTTGCTATAGGCCCAAGCAATGGGGCTAATTTACTATGGACTGGAACCTCCAAAACTGTGTGGCAAAATAAACCTTTCCATCACTATAATAAAAGTTAATTATCTCACTTATTTCATTATAGTTATGGAACTGAGCATGGTGGCACACTCCTGTAATCCCAGCTACTCAGGATGCTAAGGAAGGAGGATCTCATGTTCAAGGCCATCCTGAGCAACTTGGTGACACCCTGCCTTATAATAAAATAGAAAGGGCTGAGGATGTAGCTCAGTGGTAGAGTGCTTGCCTAACATGTACAAGGTCCTGGGTTCAATCCCCAGTACTGAAAAAATAAATAAATAAATGTATTACTTAGTCTAAGAGTTGTTTTGAAATCTCCTAAAACACATTTCCAGATGGCTTTTCAGAAAGCAATATGATTTCTGCAGACCTTTATTATCTGCATTTATTAATCAGCTGCTTTATTAGGAAGGCAAGAACTGTCTCAAATTTACAGGCAAAGTGGGGTGTGTTCTAAAATATAAAACAAATGTCAGTATGATATTTTAGTGCCAGGTCAGCATACTACTAACAATATCCTGAGGTCAAGAAGCTTCATTGTGAGCTGTATGCAGGGATCATAGGATCAGGGAAGGCTAGCTCCATGGGGGGTGCATCAGAGCTGAGCATTCAAGGGCAGCAGGGAGCACAAGTGGGGACAGCCAAGGTGGGAGAAGGGATGAGTAAAAACCTAGAGGCAGGATATAGGGGACTTGCTCAGAAGAAGCAGTAAAATTGTTTTTAAAAGAAAGTGTCAGTATGGGAGAGGAAGAGTCTTGAAGGTTGACCCATTAATAAAGGGCCTTAAATGCCAGGTTAATCTTCCAGGTGTTTTTCCTACTGTAGTGAGGAATCATTTTTTAAAAGCAAACAAGCAAGATTTAATGATTCACATTTATGAATCCACAGTGTGTACTTCAGTGCAATGAGAATCTCCAAGAGTTTATTGTGATTGACATCTTATAAAATAAAAAGATGTGTATCACACAAATAATTTATGAGATTTCCTATAAAACATATAGAGGAATGTATTGCAAGATGTTATCATGACTCTCCGTGAGTACTGAACTTAATTTTTTTTTCTTGTTTAACTCTGATTTCTAAGGGTTCCACAGTGAATTATACTGTTTGCACAATTGTATTGTATTGTTTGCTTCACATAGGTCATGTTAATTCTAAACCTACTTCTAATCCCTGACTTTACTAGGAAGGTATATATACTACACACGTATACTGTGGGGGATGTGTTTCTTGTTTGTTACAATGGTTGGAGGATAATAATAGCTTTCATTAGGTGGGGTTCAGGAATGTTAAATGTTCTACAACTAATAGTTCATCCACACAAGGAAGAGTTCTCACATTCAAAATGCTAGTGTTGGCTGGGTGTGTTGGCACATGCCTGTAATCCCAGTGATTCAGGAGGCTGAGGCAGAAGGATCACAATTTCAAGACCGCCTCAGCAACTTAGTGAGACCCTATCTCAAAATAAAAAATTTAAAAAAGGGCTGAGGATATAGCTCAATGGTAGAGTACCCCTGGGTTCAGTCTCCAATATTAGTCCAATTGTAAGTATTGGTCCAATTAGGAGACAGTAAGTTTATGGGTTAGTTAAAAAAATAGTAAGTGATGAGTCTTTTTGGTTATAAGCCAAAAAGAGATTCTGGGGAAATTTCAGCAGAAATTAGTTTAGTGGAAGGATATTAGCTAATTTACAAAATGACAGAGAAGGTTAAAACACAGATCTAAGAAAAGAACAGAAATCAGAGCAGCTAGGAGAGAGTAGATAGCAGAACTAATAAGCAGTCTCCACAGGGATTCACTATCAGAGTTAATTTTTACCCATTCTGTTCTTAGATAACTGGATTAAGATTTAGCTTTGGATTCCTGGGAGAGAATCTGAACGCCCTAGCTTGAGTCAAAGGCCAGTCCCCTAGCTCTACCATGCAACTGTGATTTATGGTCCTCAAAGGCTGCCTTCAACGGCAGGAGAGAACTCACCACAAATAAGTTGATAACAGGAGGAATGGGTGCTGGGTTGCCAAGAGCCAAGAAATACCTCTATAAATCCAGTTATTTGTTATTAAAAAATTTTTAAGTTACTTGTATAGCCTCCTTGAAGGAAGTATGATACAGAGAATTTAGAATTAGAAGCTTTAAATTCAACCCAACTCACGGAGACACTCCAAATCTTTGTGAGGGAGTTTTATTGTGGTCAAAGAACTGAACTAATGGTGTGGTCCAAAGATTTATTTTCTCCTCTTTTCCCCATTCCTTCCTCAGGTAGTGGAAGCTGTTAACAGCACAACCAACAACTGTTATAACAACGAGACAGTGATCCCGATGCCCACCATGGATTCGCGACTCTACATGCTTTCCTTCCTGCCTGTCCTGGTGCTGCTGGTCTTCATCAGGAACCTCCGGATCCTGACCATCTTCTCCATGTTGGCCAACATTAGCATGCTGGCCAGCTTGATTATCATTGCCCAGTACATTGCCCAGGTTAGTGTGTGCCACGTGCCAATGCCTGTGATTTAGGGCCTTTGTATCAATGACAGACTAAGCTCTGGAGATCTAGGGCCTACCCCGGGGGTGGGGTAAGTGTGTTTCTCACTCTTCAACCTGGGACCCCCCTTGTTGTAACATTTTTTCCACAACCATGACTCTGTGCTATCCCAAATCTTCTCATTCATGTTTCTCTGAACAACTGTTTTTATGTCAACTTCTGGCTTTAAAAAAAAAAAATTATACTTGCTTTGTAAGGAAAACATCTTGATTGTTAAACTACAGACCATTCCTATGATTGGGTAGCAAAAGGCAGATGAAAAACAGGTGCTTCTACCATAGTTTTATAGCCTCTGGGCTAAAATTCCAGGCACCTAAAATTACTCCCTAGGGAACACTGGAGAAAAAAGTTTAATATTTAGTCACAGAGCTATAAAAGTGTCTAAAAAATAAGCAAATATATTATGATGTTAATGACTGTCTTTGACACTTGTTGAATTATGGATATTGATTTTTCCCATCAATTTCCTTACTTCCTATCCTATTTGTTTTTTATAGTTGAAAACACTACATTGAAATTTAAGTCCCAGAAATCCTTTGGCAGAACCAGTAATTTTCAGATGGTTTTTCTGGGAAGCTGTAAGAGAAAATAAAAATGATATTGTCTATAGAATTTAGTAAAAATAATAAATTACTCAAATATTGTAGAATGACTACACATCAGTCTCATATTCCTTAGGAGTTATTGATAAAGTCTAAAAAATTAAATTTTCTAATGAGATAACCACTTCTGATTTACTTTTGGACAATTCCCATGATTGTTCATTTTTGTTTGTTTGTTTGTTTTTGGTACCAAGGATTAAACTCAAAGGTGCTTAACCACGGAACCACATTTCCAGTCCCCAAAATTGTCCAATTATGAAAATTGTTCTGTTATTTCCATATTTTGGGTCACAGGATATATAAAACATTTACTCTAAATACTCTCCTACCCTGTAATTTATTGCTCATATTTAACTAATAGTTGGAGGTCCTGTGAATATTCTGTAACTATAGAAACAGTAATATCCAACACCTTTGACCACTGTCTATTCAAAGGTGTTCTTGAGAACTTTAGGTTGGCACTAATCTGTGATGTGTCAGATTTTCTCTGGGAGGTTTCTGATGAACCAAACTCCATGAGATCCTTTGACAATCTTCAGGACTTGAATGACACCTCTGTGTTTCTGTCCTCTGGCTGTCTTGTATTGCGCAATATTAAAATCAGTTTTGATCATGCCCTGATTCCTTTTGAAGTTTTCTAAACTTCCTGACATTCAATGTTTTAAAATTCAGGTCTCCTCTCAGAGTACCTCTCTCTCTTAAAGTGCTCAGATGTGCCTTGAGCGTAACCACCTCATTGCATTTCTCTCCTACAGGAAATTCCAGACCCCAGCCGGCTGCCACTGGTGGCGAGTTGGAAGACCTACCCTCTCTTCTTTGGAACAGCCATTTTTTCGTTTGAAAGCATCGGTGTGGTAAGGTTTGAATGGGGTGATCTTTCCCTGGCTCTGTGAGCTCTGGGTTTTGGTGCCCTGTTGACCATTATGTGGGGCCTGATAGAAAATACACATGGGAGAGCATAACCTCTGGCCTCATCTGGGTGACTTGTGACCAGCAGAAAAAAAGTCAGATTACAACATTCAGGCAGTTAGGTGACAAGTCTTATTTTTGTCTCAGTAAGTCTACTAAACATTTCTCTTCCTATCAACAGAAGTTTCCTAATCTTTCAAAAATCAAGACTAATAGTGGCAAACAATTTAAAGGATTTGATTAAATTTAAACGAGTTTCCTGAAAAGAACTGTATATTTATAGTGACTTATTATATAGTCTCTACTTCCACATCTGAGGAAGGGTAGTGCTGTTCACGTATTTTTTAATTTACTTTTTCATTTGCATACAGCAAAATTCACTCTTGAGAGGTACAAGATTCCAGCAAGTTTTCAAAAATGCATAGAGTCATAGATGTCTGACATCAGAACACAGAACAATTCTGTCACACACAAAACTCCCTTCACTGTCCCTTTTTATCAACTCCCACCCCATGCCACTAACTCTGATACCACCTTCCATTCTCTGCCTCGATTATTTTACCTTTCGCAGAATGTCATATAAATGGGATCATGCAGTATGTAACCCCTTGAGACTGGTTTCTTCCACCCAGCCTAATGTCCCATCCATGGTGACGCACATATCCATCCATACTCCTGGCTGTCAGTGCAGAGCAGCCACTGTGTGGGCAGTACCACCTTTTATCTACTTACCAGTTGAGGAGTGTTTCCGTTGTTTCTAGTTTATGGCAATTGTGAATAATGCTCTGATAAGCTTTTGTGTGAATATAAGTTTTTATTTCTCCAGGAGTAGGTTTTCTAGGTCACATATTAATATATCTCTAACTTGAGAAGTTGCCCAACTGTTGTTAGAATGGCTGTTCCATTTTTCATTTCCAACACAGTAGAGGAGCTTTCTAGTTGTTCTGTATCTGTGCTAGCACTTGTATGTATTGTCAGTATTTTTTTTTTCAGGGCTAGGGATTGAACACAGGGCCTCATGCACACACACACACACTACCACTATTCCCAGCCCTGCTATATTTTTTATTTCTGCCATTCTGATAGTTGTGTAGTGGTATCTGATTAAGATTTAATTTGCATTTACTATTGACTAGTGATTCTGAGCATCATTTTGTGTGTTTATTTGGCATCTGTATACCTTTTTTGGTGAAGTATCTGTTCAAATCTTTTGTAAAAAATTTTTATACTGAGCTGTTGTTTACTTATTATTAAGAGTTCTCTAGGCATTCCAAACACAAATCCTTAATTGATTATGTAATTTTAAAATATCATTTCTAGTCTGCAGCTTGTCCTTTCAGTCTCTTTTATGGAACAAAAGTTTTTAATTTTGATAAGGTCAAATATATAAAAAATTTGCTTTTATGGATCTTGGGTGTTGTCTCTAAAAATATTTTTCCTAACCCAAGCTCATAGATATATTCTTCTAAATGTTTTATAGTTTTCATTGTATAGTTAGATGTATGATCTGCTCTTGAGTTAATTTTCAAGTTGTTAATAGGTCGAAGTTTATTTTTTAAAACAGGCTGCCCCTTGTTTCTGTATCATTTGTTGAAGAGACTCTGTCTTGAGTTGCTTTGCATTCTATATGAAGTTGATTGGTACATGTGTATGGGTCAGTTTCTGAATTTCCTATACTGATTCACTGTTGTGTCTATAACAAGCTGTACTGATAACAGATGCTTTGTTTTTAAACTAGTGGTTTTGAATGCCTCAACTTTCTTTTGATTAGTGTGTATGTGCTGTATATTTTTTCCATCCTTTTAATTTTTTTTATTGAGATAACTTACATAACATAAATTTCATCATTTTAATGCAAGCAGTCTGATAGCTTTCACAATATTATCCAATCATAACCACTAATTCCAGAACATTTTGGTCACCTGAAAAAAAAAAAAAAAAGAGACCCATTATGCACTCACTCTCTCCATTCTTCTGATGCAAGCCGGCTTTCTATCCCTGTGCCTTTGCTCGGTTCAGCTATTTCATGTAAATAGAATCATAGAGTATGCTTCCTTTTGTGGGTAGGTTCCCTGTCGCATTCCACAACTAAAACACTCAGGGTCACTCCAGGTGAACTTGCCTGCATGAAATAATCACACAAGAGACAGAGATACCTTTTTCTTTGGGTTCTGTGATGGCTCCTCTGACCCCAGAGAGCTCACTTACTGAACCCTTTTATTGGGGAGAAGCCATTCAATGAGGCAAGGGGTCAGGTTTCAGGGGGTTGAGTCTAGCTTCATGATGTCTGCTGTCAGCAGGTTGACTGACATCTAGGATGACCCCACCCAAAAGCAGAGCAAGAGAAGTGGACATACAAAGGGAGCTTCCATGGAACATTCTATCCCAAACAGGGCAAAGGGGTAGGATCACAAAGGAATAGGTGAGTGTAACTCAACCCCAGGGGTATGCCTACTCAGAAGACTGGCCTTGCTATTCGAGCAGGGGAAAAGACCGAGTCCAGACTACAGTGATCTTTCAGATCCCAATGGTGCATCAGGACTGGAAGGCGGTGTACCTCAATGTGACTCCCCACAGTTTCCCACTTAGCAATGTTTTCAAGGTTCATACCTGTTAGTGTTGGTGTCAGCAATTAAGACCTTTATATGGGTTAATAATTTTCCATTGTATGCATCTAAAGCATTTTGTTTATCCATTTGTTTTGATGGACTTTGAGGTTTATTCCATTTTCTAGCTATTGTAAGCAATAGTCCTAGGAGAATTCATGCGTATATTTTTGTCTGAGCAACTGTTTTCAGTTCTTTTGGGTAAACACCCAGAGTGAGAAAGCTGGGTCATATGGCAATTCTGTTCAACATTTTAAGGAGCCATTTTCCACAGTGGCTGCACCATTTACTTTGATTCCACCAACAAACATTAAGGGTTCCAGTTTCCCCATATCTTTGCTAACACTTCTTATTTTTCTTGTTGTATTGATTTAATTTGGAGTTTTTTGTTTGTTTATTTTATTTTTTTGTACATTCTAGAAGGTACGAAGCAGTAGCTCATTGTGGTTTTGCTTTGCATTTCCCTAATGACTAATGACATTGAATATCTTTTCATGTGCTTCCTGGCTATTTCTTTATATTCTTTGAAGAAATGTCTATTCAGGTCCTTTGCCCATTTTTAGTTGGGCTATCTTGTTAAATTTAAATTCATTTGTGACATATAGGAAAACAAATTTGTACCTATTTATGGAGTTCCATATGATGTTTTGAATTGTCTTTTTGCCACTGAGTTTTTAAGAGTTCTTTAATATATTCTGAATTGTAGATCCTTAAATGGTTGCAAATATTTTTCTTATTCTGTGGGTTATCTTTTCACTTTTTAAAATAGTATCTTTAACGCAAAAAAGTTTTTAATTTTGATGAAGTCTGATTTATCTTTTTTTTTCTTGCTTTTGCTTTTGGTGTCATACCCAAGATTACATTGCCAAATCCAAGATCATGAAAACCTACCCTAATGTTTTCTTCTAAGAGTTTTATAATTTTACTGCTTATAATTTTCATAAGGTATGTGGTGACTTTGTTCTTTATATATGGTTATCCAGTTGTCTCATCACAATTTATTGAAAGTAACATTCTTTCCTCATAGAAGAGTTTTGGTAATCTTTTTAAAAATCATGGATCATATGAGTTTATTTCTGGATTCTTGACTCTATTCCATTATAGGAATGGAATATATCTGTCCTTATACTAAAAATCACACAATTTTGATTGGTTTAGATTTTATAGTAATTTTGAAATTCCTCCAACTTTAAGGTACATTGCTGCCAAAAAGGCAGTTGGAATTTTAGCGGGAATTTTATTGAGTCTTTATGCCATCTTAGCAGCATTAAGTCTTGCAGTGATGAACATGGGATGTCTTTCCATTTATTTAGGTCTCCTTTAATTTCTTCAGACAAATTTTATTGTTTTTAGCATATAAAAATCTTTCCATCTCCTAAATTAAATTATGTCCCTAAGCACTTTTTTTAAATGCTATTGTAAGTGGTTTTGTCTTTTTAATTTCCTTTTCAGATTGTTCATAGTATTTAAGGGGCAAAAATACAACTGACTTTGTATGATTTTTGTATCATGCAACTTGTTTAGTACACAATAGTTGTGTGTGTTTGCGTGTGTGTGAATTTGGATGTTTTTTTTCTTGTCTAATTGCCTGGGCTAGAGTTTCTAGTACAATGCTATATAGAAGTGATGACAGCAAACATCCCCTTCTTATTCCTGATCTTAGGTGGAACACTTAGTTTGTTATCCAATATGATGTTAACTGTAGGTTTCTCTTGGATGCTTTTTATGGGGTTGAGGACGTCCCTTCTATTCCTTGTTTGATGAGTGTTTTTATTCTGAAACAATGCTGATTTTCTTTCAAGTTCTTTCTTGCATCCATTCAGGTGATCATGGCTTTTCTCCTCTTCATTCTATTACTATGACATATTACTTTAATTAATTTAATATATTGAACTGCCCTTACATTCCTGGGATACATTTCACTTGGTCATGGTACATAATATTTTTAGTGTGCTGCTCCATATAGTTTACTAGTATTTTATTTTATTTTCCATAGTTTTATTGGTGCATTATGGTTGACATAATGGTGGGATTTGTTGTTACCTATTTGTACATGCATACAATATAACAATATAATTTGGTCAATATCATTCCTCAGTATTTTACCTTTCCTTCCTGGTTTACTAGTATTTTATTGAGGAACTTTATATCTGTATTCATAAGGAATATTGGTCTATAGGTTTCTTTTCTTATAAGTCCAGTCCTTTTTTTGTATTTAAAGTGGAATTTTTAGAGACTGAATATAGTTCTTGTTTTTTAATTTACTTTGATCATCTTTATCTTTTATTAATATGGTTGGATCATTTTCAATTAAGGTAATTATGGTTGAATTTAAGTTT